CAGTAACCTAAGAATAAAAAGGCCTCTCTTTTTGGTATTGGGCAACTTTATAGGGAACCTAGGACTACAAAAAGGGAATAAGGGTCCTACTGGGCATCCTAGGCAAGATCCACAACAATCCCGTAGCCCTGGCACAGGACACGCAAAAGCAATGGCAAGAAAGCCAAAATGGGAGTTTCGGAAAATAGGGGGCATCTTATCCTTTAAAGGGATCCTTTGAGGTTCTATAGAAGGTTTAAGGTTTAGAGTTTCCGAAAACTAGGGTATCTTATTTGGGGGTCCTTATGATAAGGATCCTACGATTTCGGGTACTATACTGGGGTCCCCTATTTTCGGAAACTCCCAAATCGAGACTCCCAGGTCCACAACTTCACACACGGAAGGCTCATGGCAAAGGCCCCATGTTGAGACTGAATGGGCCTCCGGCCTTAGGGCCGGATCGGTTACGGTTCGATCGTTGTGTGTCTAACCATGGGCTCCATGGTAGTTCCTTTTTGGGATTGCCTTATAGGATTCCACATACCAACCCCAAAGAGGAACTACTATGGAGCCTCTAGGTAACGTTTAGGGTCTCAGTTTCGGGCAGATGCTTGTGGTTCTTAGGGTGTCCGATCTGGGCGCTTCGGATTTAGTGCGCAAAGCTTCTGTTCACGCACCTGGCCACGCTTCCGATGCACGGTAACCATAATCATAACAGTAGTACTTGTAAGCAGAGTTATACTAGCAATAGTAGGAACCATAGTAATACTAGTCAGTACAAATAGTAGTTCGAAGGTGTGATTAGAGATAGGCATAGGGGTGTAATAAAGTTTTAGGGTTTTGGGTTTGTTGAAGGTTTGGCGGGACGCCCGAAACCATAAATACCACCCCATATCGCGAGACACGGCGAGTCCACGCAAAAGATACACTCACATTCCATGACACCGGATGTTAAGATTCAAAAACAACTGCAATCGCGATCGTAGCTGCAACCGTCTACAATAACCATTCAAGCCATTCCACACTATGTAGAATGTAGTCACCGATGTCGCGGACACCACCGGCCTTATCATGACTTCGGATTTTGTCACCACCGCAACCACCATCAGCACCAGCACCAGCACCAGGACCAGCACCATCACACCATCACCAAGAGCTACAAATGCATCACCGTCACTGTGTTCACCACCGAATGAACCAAGCAATGCTAGGCCAAAGAATGCATGTGTATCATCCCAATTCCAGCAAACTCCTAGCAGCATACTTGCATTTAAAAGAAACGTGATGTTTGGCGGCCCTATGTTCAAACCCTGAAGTAAATGTGCCTAGGAATTAGAATAGGTTTATATATTAGCTCTATCTTAGAACTGTTGAACTTTTGGGGCCCGGTTGTTGAAGAAGAGAGATTCCTGTAATAGTTCTTATACAGCTTTCACGCTGCCCCAATAAAGCACGTAAGCAACAACCAGATAGGGATATCCCCATAGACATTCCCTCATATTGAAGCCCAATAATGTAGGGATATGCTTCAAAACTGCTTGTGCTTATTTCCTCCTTGGGCCCCTATTTTAATATGTAAGGCGGAAAGGTTTAAAGTTCCCCCGTTGGCTATCTAAGATTATCGGAATTTTACTTACCTGTGAACCAGGCCCACCACCTTGCAGGGACTCAGAAGACACCCTAAACTCCCAAACCCCTAAACCCCTAAACCCTAAACCCCTAAACCCCTAAACCCTAAACCCCTAAACCCTAAACCCCTAAACCCTAAACCCTAAACCCCTAAACCCCTCTTCAATCCGCCCGGTCTCGCCACGCAGTGCTCCAGGACAAGGGCAGAGACCTGCTCGTGGCTCAGTCCTGCCGATCCGGCTTAAAGTTTAGGGGTTAGAGTTTGGGGTTCAGGGTTTTGGGTTAAGGGCTTAGGGATTTCGGGGTTTAGGGCATAGGGGTTTGGGGTTTAGGGCTTAGAGTTTGGAGGTTCGGGTGGCGTGAAGGGCCTGTGGATTCAAAGAGTTTAATTGCAGCTGTCAAGACTGGGTCGCTGCACATTTACGACTTCAGGGTCTGCTGGTTTAGCTTCTTAGGGTTTACTTGAGGGCTTAGGCGCAAGTATTAGGGCAGCGTTGCGGCTTAAATGAGGTCCAACTTAGGCTTCGAGTTTAGGGTTTAGACTGCTTTGGGATTGAAGGAATCGTCAGGGTTAGGGATTACGGTTCTACAACGCCGGCTGTGCCTATGCCGGCGTTTGCTGCACTCTTCCTTCAGAGTACCCATGGAGGGAACCCTCCTCTGGTCGGACAAGAGCCTGCAACCCGGCACGTCGTATTGCTTTCAGGAGAGTTTCCTTTCATGCTGTCGATTTAAGAAACATGATACAGAAAGGCCGTGACCCACATGTTCAGGCATGCCATGGAGTTTGAGCCCGCCCTTCGAACAGCAAAATCCCATCTCACTAGACCTTTTGGTGCCCAATTGCTCCAGCTGCTGCCCTCCTGCATATGCCCCACAACTTTCAAGTCTATAACCCAAACTCTCATTCATCCCAGGATGCCCAGCGAGGCAACTCCAACTCCCAAACCATGCGTTGCTGGCCTGCTGTAGCCGCACGCTGCCGCTTGTCAAGCCGAGCGCCGGTATCGTGATGCTCATAGTGACAATACCTTGTGGCTTAATGTAGGAACTTGATTAAGAAACCTTTGGGCCTTTATTAGGGTTCCTGTCTTTTCTTAATTTATGTTTGGGGCTGAGGTTTTAGGGTGTCAGGACTGATTTAGGCTTGAGGCTCCTGGGTGTTGCAGCCTAAGCCGCAAAGGCAGAGCCTGACTCCAAACCCAGATGCGCTGCAACTTTAGTCTGGATCCAGCTACAAAGCCCCAAGGCTCAGCCTAAACTTAACAACTGGTCGACTCTCTATTATATACTGATTATATATTGAGACGGGCATAGACATCGCAAACTGCTTGAAGATGAAGATGCGGCCAATATCAGCAAGTGCTACAGTTGCTACAATAATGTAGAAAGTATCGAGCCGTCTTTTGCAGTGTGGTCAGCGGATATCAGGGATTTGGTCGGGGCTGACCCTGCCTTCGATTTCTGCTTCTTTCTTGGACATACGTGCCAGGCTTTGCTCTTTGCCTCATCTCGTTCTCAAAAGTTAAAGACGACGGTTCAGAGTTTAGGGTTTAGGGGCTTAGGGTTTAGGGTTTAGGGTTTAGAACTTTGCGTTTTTGTTGTTTTTTATGGGCTCTTTTCCACCTGCAGGTACAGCTAGAACTCCTGTACTAGGAGGAGCCAGTGGTTGGGGCCTCCTGGTAAATGCAGACAGTGCGTTTAGGGTTCAGGGTTGAGAGTTTAGGGTTTAGCTTTTAGACTTTAGGGTTTGGTTTAATGCTTGAATCGAAGGACAAGCAACGACTCAAAGGCAAATTCTGCAGTGATCCTTCCAAGGGCGAAAACTCCTTTGCCGTCGCTGCGTGCCATAGGGCCTATTGTTGCTCTCACGACGAACACGAGCGATGCTTCCAGTGCCAAAATGTCATGTAGGAAGCCGACAAAGCACCAATGTCGACGAAGACGCCAGAAGCTGCACAGAACGACCAACGATTCTAAGTTCCACAACCGAAGCCCACCAAGATCCCCCAAAAACCTGGAGCCTGATCTCAGATTTTGGCCCAGGAACGAACAGTCCTTGCCGTCTGCACAGTGCCCGTTTCGAAAACTGAGGCACGGCCGCCGGCAGCAGTGCGGATGGCCCAAACTCCCAAAGTTACCCGGACGATGGACCTGCTCTGGGAGCCCTCTACTTGGAGGATCATGGGACTTAGTAACTAGGGCTATAAGTACCTTAGGTAGGGATATAAGTAGACATAACTATAGTTACCTTACTCATAACCCTACTGGAATGGGGTACAATTATAACTGCTATTACTACCATTCTTCCATTCCCTACTAACCATAAGTCTACCCTCTCGAACCTAGGCTTCGAGCGAAGAGTTTACGGTTTACGGTTTAGGCTGTCTGTGTGTGTGTGTGTGTGTGGGCACAAGCCCTGTTGGTCCACGGGTTTTCTGTGAAGTTGCATCTGCGTGTGATTGAAATTGTAGAAGAGTGCAGGGGGCTGCTCCACCCACCGTCAGGGGGCAGCCAACGAAGAGCCTGGCGGTGTGGTGCTGTAAACGTACCTGTATCTTCATTCTGTCATGCGGATGCTCCTGGGCTCAGTGTGGCAGCTGGGGGTTCGCATGAGGATGTGCCTGGGCTCGGCGTAGCAGCTGGGCAATCCTTAAAAATTTGAGTGCTATCCGTGTGTGTCGATCTGCCTTCCCCAACAGGGTGATTCCGAAGTGTGTTTCGGCAATGCTTCCGTATTCGGTCATTGTCGTGAGCCCTTGGAGGGCGCCAAGTGTGATGTGAACCACAAGTACACGGTGTTGTGGAGACGAATACAGTGTGGGAGCGTTGATGTTGTGACCTCGGCCGACATGCTTGTGCAGTAAACACGATTTCTTGCCTTGAGCAACCAGTTTTTGCCTTGAGCTACCAGTTCTTGCCCTGAGCAACTAGTTCTTGCCTTGAGCAACCAGTTGATGCCGTGAGCAACCACTTCGCTTCGAGTTACATGTCTTCGTATGCTTCCAGATCTACTTCGTGCAACCAGTGTGGTGGATTTGGACAGTACGCAACATTGGTGGCACCGTCAAATATTGACAATGCATGTTAAAATTCTTGCATGGTTCGCGTGTCCATGCAAGGAGCCGCTCGCCGCTTGCAGCTTTTTTCGGTCTAAAGGTGTCTTCTTGTTGTGACATGTCGACATACTGCACGACAATCGTTTGAAAGCTTCACTTAGTTGGTTGCCCTTGAGGCCTTCAAAGTTGGATACCGTTGTTGCAGCACTCCAGAGCAGAGGCATCATGAGCTTGGATTTTCCACCTGGAATATGGCATGTTTCTAGCAGCAGTCAAACGAACCAGCATCGAAGTGGTGGGAGAAGTGGCGAGTCTGTGGTCGGAAACATCCAGATGCCTGGCGCAAGCTTCCGAGTTTTGGGCGATGGTGCCCCTAGACCGAAGTGGATTCCAAAGCTAAATTGTCCACCAGCTCGTGTGGTTGGCCGTGACGAGATTCGGGATAGTTCTGAAACTACGTCTACCCCGTTCGTTGATGCCAACGACTGTAAAGTTCATGTGCCGGTGCACCAGAAGCGCAAGGTTCAGTATCGGCCTGCAGGTCCTTTACAGCCCAAAGTCATGAAAACTGACCAAGATGTCGTGCAGCAGATTCGCTTGCCCTCGACTCGAAACGACAGCAATTCCCAATTGTGGGTTCCTGAGGCCGAGTCCTTGCGTCAGTTCCTGATGGCAAAATTGGCAAGTTTCTCGTTGTACCGTGGAAAACCGGCGTGTTCAGCAGCGCTTAGCGAATGTGCACAACTGCTACATGCATGCGGTGTGGGTATTGCTGATTTGGGACCTTTCAGTCTGCTCTCTGCTCGTTCGAATGGTGACGCCAAGATGGTCCAGTTCATGGTGATGGAATCGAGCCTTTTGCAGTGCAGATGTGGACGACAAACCATGGCTAAATCTTGGAGATCGCCCAGTACATTCGTAGTTCCTGTCAACATGCGGGAGTTTTGCGACATTGTCAACGAAGGTGAGATTCAGTCCTCGCAGTGTCTAGTTTGGGGCAGTAATGTGAGGCCTTCGCATCAACCACCGATTGCCGAAGTTTTGGCGTGTGCTGCCCATGATCTGAGGAAAAAGTCGTGTTGTTTGATTTTTGGTTCGTGCTCAGAGCATGCATGGTGCGAGACAATAGAATCATCAACCTTTCCTACCGATGCACACCACAAAACCTGCCATTCTGTACAAAGTCAGTTGGTCCAACGGTTGTCCGTAAATCGGGATTTTTACCAGCTCTCCGGCTTTGCCTTGAAATTGGGTACGGCTGGTGACAATTTTTATTGAGTCGTTTACGGTGCTGTCCTCGTCAAACAAGTCTGCACCGCGGTTTCTTGCATGCATTGTCTGCAGAATGCACATGTTGCACATCGCGTCTCGACGTGACCTTTTCCTGTAGTGCGGTTCGTCGTGTAGTGTTGTCCCCTTCGCCGCGCTGTCGAAAGCATGGTTAGGCGTGATTCCTCTCGGTCTCGATCTCCAGTGGCACGTCGTCGCACAAGCCGTGTGGAGTTTGAAAGTCCGCACGGTCATGGGCGCAAAGAGCACAAGTTGGACCTTCCTGCTTCTTTCCAGCACGACCACAAGTACATTGACAAAAATTCGTGTTTTGGTCGCCAGTTCTATCGGAACGTTTGCTCAACACCGTGGTCTCAACAAGTTGGTCTTGCCAATCGTCCTGTGGATAGTGTCAAAGTTCATGAACTGTGCTATTTGGGCTGGGAGAACCACAACTTGAGAGCCTTGTCAGCAGGGGCTTTCGTGAGTGTTGTCTTCGCTCGTTCAGTTCGTGAAGCTCAGCTGGCAGACAGTTTGTTGCGGTTGTGTCGCACTGAACATTTGGACATCGAGAGTGCCGCTTTCAACCGGTGGTTCCAAAAGTACGGAGACAATCCAATCGACAAGGACGGCAAGAACAAAGCAGTGCAGGAATCGGCTACAGAAGCGTTGAGTGTTATCCGAAAATTTCATGCCCCGCCGTGTTCATCGTCTGATGCTCATGAAGTTGCAGAGCTCCGAAAAAGGGTGAAAGAGCTTGAAGCAGAAAAGGCTGCTTCTCGAAAGTCGTCTCCCTCGCGCTCGCCTGCCCCGCCGACCAGCAAGCGTCTTCGCCGAGGTGGTAACAACTTGCCCGTTGAGCACGTGACTTCGTCACCCCTTGTGAAGAACGACTCGGGAGTCAAGCCTTTGAGAGAAAACTACCCCGCCACCGTCACCGCCCAGGGCGTCAATGCTTGGATCCGGAAGTTGCCCAAGAAGAAAGAAGCGTCCATCAAAACGGCCATCAAAGACGCGGAGCAAGTTTTCAAACAGTTGTCGGAACCGCAGTTGGCAAGCCTCCCGGACGTTGCTGCTGAGTGGGGTTTGAGTGTAGAGCAAGCTTCTTCTGCAAAGGACAAGGAGTTGATCCGCATCATTGCGGCAGCTCATGTTCTCGCTAGCTGATGTCCCGCTTCGTACCGGTGCTTTTCTCTTTTAACCACACTTTGCATGGTGCTACAGTGTGCCTTGCTTTTTCCAAACAAAGCCATCAAGCGGGCTGCCTTGTACGTAGCCGGCTTTGTGTGGCTAACTTTGTTGTTTTCTGCCGAAAGGTTGTCTTTCAAGGCCGCTGAGTGGAAGCGAAGGTTGCTGCGTCAAAATGTCTCACCTCGAAGCTATAGTTGGCAGTTTTTCAATCAGAGTCTCGTTGTCTACATTCGCGTGCCTGGTGTTACTGAGAGTTGCTCCAGGCGCCGGTTTTCTCTTAGCTCTCACATGTTCTACATTGGATCCACGAAAGTCGGGATGTTCGAACGCGAGTATGCTCGAGTCCGAAAACACGACCAATTGTTTCAATCCTCTTTTGTTCAAGCTGAGCCTGCTGTGAAGTGGTGGTTTTGTCGCCAAAACTTTTTCGATTTCGTCCCGATTGTCTTGGCCGCTGGAAGCTCCTACGCGCAAGCGTGGACATTGGAACATCTCTTTGTACAGAACTGGCGTCCACCTTTAAACTATCCGTTTTCAAACAAACTGGTCTTTAAAGGAGACCACGTTACCGTCCAGAAAGTAGAGAAGAAGCATGCAGCTGCTGCCCAAAGGTGCGGTAAGAGGTTGTTCTTGAAATTGAGAACGCGGTCAAAAACAATCCAAAAGGTTGTGACTGAATTTGGTTCACAGGGTGGTAAAATTCTCTCCAGATCATCGGCGTGGTCAATCTTGTTTCTTCTATCTCAGTTGGACGGGCAAGGATGGCAAATGCAGAAGTTACTCGCAGCTCAGACGAACAGTCTAAACTTGTATGCATTGGACAGACTGGCAAGCGCCTTGGAGGAGCCATACCGAGGTGTTGCAAAAAAACGGTTGCGTGCTGTCCTTGTGTACAAGGGGCTGGCAGTCCCACGATTCGCCAAACCTTTAGCAATTCCGTTGCTTGCGAACAAGTTTTTCAAACAAAATGTGAAAAAATGGGTTGTGCACGTTCGGAAAACGTTTGCACACAAGGCGTTGCCGTTTCATCTGCTGACGAAGGATGTTATTGAAAAAAGGCATGGATCGGTTGGCGAAAAACTCTTTACATTTCGACTGTGGCTAAAAAAGTTTTCGCAGTGCCCAGGTGAAGAGCTGTGTCGTTGCCAGTCCGTGCTGCAAAAACATCCGGAGCTTGAGTGCATAGACGGCCACGTTGCATCACCAGCCTCGCGGTTGTCGGTATCAAGACATTTGCGACGTCTTCTCGGGTCGTCTGCAGGCTGTTGTTTTTTCCCTCGCTACCAAAGGTACAAGGACATTTCTGTGCAAGAGGTTGGCAAGTGGGCTGAGCACCACCATTTACCAGTCAACGAGGTCGTACAGCAGTGGTTGCAATTTCTGAGCGTTGAGTTTCGTGCACATGTCAAAGCTGTGTCTGGACGATTCTCCGTGTCTGACGTTCTCAGGGCGGCCCAAGAGATGGAGGACCTTGTTGTTCACTCTCGAGACCACGCTTACAACCAAATCATGGTTTTCTGTCCGCAGTTGTACCGTTCCGCAGTGTTGAGTACGTTTGAGGACAAGGACGTGTACTGTGAACTTGCAGGTCATCCTTATTCCATTGCGCAGTCTGCTTTTGATGCCATACCTTGTCAGTTGAAATCTCGGTACGCGTGGGGTATCAAAGAGACCTACGTGCTACCCAAGGCCTATGTGTTTTTGAAAAAGAAAAAAGATTTCAAGCAGGCTCGGTCAATCATCAACTTTCGCGGGTCGTGTTTGAGTCGGTTGTGCAAGATTGTGGCTTGCGTGCTGAATGAAGTCTGTCATGTTGCTTTCCCTGCGAACTTTGGCAAACTGAAGCTGCACGAGTTGTGGTCTTCGCTTCATGGCTTTCTCGACCGCTTGTCTCATGCTAAAGCGCAAGAGTATGTGACGGTCAATGACGATCTCGCTGGATTTTTCACTTCTATCCCAGTGTCACGCTTAAAGCGTGCTTGCGAACTCGCGTTGGACAGGTTTTTTGACAACAAGCAGTCAGGCGGGAAAAACCGAGGAGAGTTTTGGTTCACCGTCGATGAAAAGTCAGCTTCTTCATATGGACGTGTCCTACGTGGAAAGCCTATGAAAAACAGAGCATCGGCTTGTCGAAAAGTTTTTGCGGGTGACGTGTTGAGGATCATCGAGCTCTCCTTTTCGTTTGCATCTTTCACAGTGCTTGGCCGATGCTTTGCCCAGAGGAGAGGCAGCCCAATAGGCAATCAGCTGTCACCAAGTTTGTGCAACTTCGCGGTCTGCATGGAGGAAGATTGTTGGGTCCGGGGGTTGAGGCAATGCTGGGCTTCTGATCGCTTGGCTTGTTGGTTTCTCCGGTATGTCGACAATCGCTTTCTGCTGTTTCCTCGAACGTGCTTGAAAGGCGATGCTTTTCAAAAGTTGGTGATGCCTACCTTCTATGGGCCTCCGGTAATGCTCGAAGCATGTAACGTGGAGGAGTTGTTGGGATGTCGGGTGTCTGTGCATGATCGCCGTGTAACGTTTGACATTCCTGAAGAAAACTGGCAGTACAGAGTTCCGCAAAGCGCAGGGTCTGCAAATGCAAATCTTGCGTCATATCGTGCAAGGGTGTTAATCGTGGCAGCGCAGGTGTATCCAAAACAGGATGTGCCAGCTCAAATTCGTGCACTTTCCCACAAATATTTGGAACTGGGGTTTAGCCGTCACGAATTGCACCGGGCTCTTCCAGCAAAGGCCAAAAGGTTTCGGTCAGTTGTGTGAGCAAGTCAAAACAGCAGGCTCGGGAGTTTCAATTTCAGCAGTGTCGTGGAGCAGGCGTCGGGAAAAACATGAGCGGGACAGTATTTGCGTGCAGTGCAGGTCGTTACAAATCTACTCGTGTTGACTGCCATCCTGGTCCTGGAAGGGCCGGGTGGTGTGTGTGGGCACAAGCCCTGTTGGTCCGCGGGTTTTCTGTGAAGTTGCATCTGCGTGTGATTGAAATTGTAGAAGAGTGCAGGGGGCTGCTCCACCCACCGTCAGGGGGCAGCCAACGAAGAGCCTGGCGGTGTGGTGCTGTAAACGTACCTGTATCTTCATTCTGTCATGCGGATGCTCCTGGGCTCAGTGTGGCAGCTGGGGGTTCGCATGAGGATGTGCCTGGGCTCGGCGTAGCAGCTGGCAATCCTTAAAAATTTGAGTGCTATCCGTGTGTATCGATCTGCCTTCCCCAACAGGGTGATTCCGAAGTGTGTTTCGTGTCGTGTCACATCGCATCGCGTCTGTAGTATGTGTCGTATGGCGACACCAGCATCAACCACAACCACAACCACGACTACAGCATAACGACACCACGCCAGAAATATCGAGATCACCGAGGTCAGCAACCTGCATGAGTGGCAAGCTGTGCAACGAGGATAGATGCAGGAAGACGCAAGGACAGAGCTTTGATAATGTCGCAGACCTGAAATCACAGATGGATGCAAGCAACTTACTTCCTGGAAACACGCCTGAAAAAAAGTTCAAAGCCTATCTGGCCTCCTCTGCACAGACCTCACCGCAGTCACTCGAGCTGCCCGACAAGCTCTTGCAACCTTCAGACGGTTCCTGCACACTGCGGCTCCCTAAGGGTCCAAAGGACCCAATAATTAGGTACTCGGTTCTCGGATAGTAGTTATGTAGGTTATATACTATTTTGGAGAGTATATGATAATTAGGTACTTGGACCCTTAGGGGTTTTGATGGAGCTTCGCAGGGTGTACGAGTTTAGGGAACGGTGGACAACATCTCTACCTCTCTGCGCCTGCGGGCTTTCAAGAAGGAGTCAAAGATGGGTAATGATTGAGGCTTCAAACATGGGTAGTTAAGGAGGCTTCTATAGTACGTCTATAGGTGCAATGGTAACCATCATGGACATGTGATCATGAACTAACTGTTGAGCGGCCCTTGCTCAAGAAAGCTTTGCATGCGTAAGACAGTGCCAAAAATTTCGAGGTTTCCGCTAAAATACAAGGGAGAAAGCCAGTTGCCAAGAGCATTGCCGTGTACCACCCTACACTTTTAAACCCTAAATCCTAAATCGTGTCTCCGGGCTTCGCAGGAGGAGTCGCATTCCTTAAACCATGTTCCATTTCGGCATTTCAAGGGTTTAGGGGTTTGGGGAAGCACTCGGAACCATGACATGCACGTATGAAGGGGCATTAAAAATTAGAATAGGGCTTGGGGGGGGCTCCTCATTTTAAATATGTACCCCCAAACTCTATTCTAATTATTAAAGCCCCTACATTCTTTTGAAACGGACCCTAAACTATAGTAGACGCCAGAAAGTTGGAACATGGCTTTAGGAGGATTAGTGCTAGGATCCCCTCTACTCTACCTTAAGGGTATGACGACAACGATGTTCCAACTTTCTGGCTTCTACTATAGAACCTCAAAACCATCGGATGCAGATTTGCTGAAGCGGAGGATTCCGCGCCAATGCTGGCGAGTCGTGTGCAAGAAATCTCTAAATCTTAGGGCCTTAGGTTTTTTTTTTAGGGTTTAGGGTTCAGGGTTTAGGATTTATAAAACTCCTGAATCGAATCTGAATAGGCCACGGAAACTGTGATCGGTTTAGGGTCATTTGATGAAAGGGCTGGTTCGAGAAACGAGGACTTGGGAAACACAGGCAAAAGGGATGAACATTGGTCCAAGTTCGGGCACCTATAAATCAGGAGTTAATTCGTGCTGCGAGCTTTTGCTAGCAAAACGACGAACTGCCCCTAAATCATTTCGGAACAGACTTGCCCTGAACGTTTGACCCCAGGGCCGATCCCGCTAAGCCTGAACCCTAACCCCTCGAACGCTCAAAGCGCGAAGCCCTATATGCGACCCGATATCCGGAAGCCTTAACCCCTAAACTTCGGCCCTAAGCCCTAAACCCCGAGCCCTGAAACCCCCTTTTGTCCCGCCTGAGTAGGCGCTTCACTGAAAAAGCTGCAAATTCTTCTGCAAGCCGACGGTTCTGCCTCCAAAGCCACGCTTTTCAGGTTTAGGGCCTGGGTTTAGGGTTTAGGGCATAGGGGCTTCATGGCATCGAGGGAACTGTCAGTGAGCTTTAGAGTTCTAGAAAGAGTTGTACAGCAGTAAGTTGCAGTAGCAGCAGCAGTAGTAGCAGCAGTAGCAGTAGCAGCAATCGTGAAAGTGGCAGAGGCAGTTGCAGTGGCAGGGGCAGTGGTCGTGATTGTGCTGTGCAGTGGTAGTCGTAGCAGTAGTAGTTGGCGTCGTCGTAGCAGTAGTGGTAGTGGTAGTGGTGGTAGCAGTAGTAGAAGAAGTAATAGTAGTAGTAGTAGTAGTAGTAGTAGTAGTAGTAGTAGTAGTAGTAGTAGTAGTAGTAGTAGCAGGAGTAGTAGCAGGAGTAGTAGTAGTAGTAGTAGCAGTAGTCGTCGTAGTAGCAGCAGTCGCAGCAGTACTGGTAGTAGTGGTACTTTGTGCTTCGGGCAAAAGCTTTATATTGGCTCCTGCTCCTGCTAGGACCATGGGGCATCACTAGCATGATATATCACTGTGTAACAACTACGCCCAAGCATAGGACGAACCCGGATCCTATTATAGTTCATCTCCTTTTCATATACTGCAACACATCTACACTCCAAGCCCCGTCAACAATGATACGATGTAGACTGGTCTCGATAGGCTGCTTCGTGGAATCGGAAGACCAAGACCCAAGACGATCAGTACGATATAAGCCACACCCAAGATTGACAACATTCGCCTGATTCATAGATACAGAGTGTCAGCCTGTGCAAACCCAAATATGGGACGCACACTGCTAGAATGGCATTTGCTGCAGAACAACATCTACGCTCCGTATCGAAGAATGACCAGTCGGATTGTAGCGTAGTACGATCCGCCCACGCTCTTTTGTGAATTAACAGGCGACACATCAAATTAACTGTACCACGCTGGCCATCATCGACTGAATGACAAAAGATGCAAAGCAAAGCTGAGATGAGGGGCACGAGCAGGTATAGGTTCAGGCTTGACTATGTCTATTCCCTTCACCCGATCAAGCTTGGCTGAACCAGTCCACCTGCTCTGCAGCGCAGAAGACCGGTTCACTCATCATATTGGAAGAAGATGCGTCCGCTCACGCGGCGGGACACACAAACTGAGAGCGGCGTTGCAGCGAAAGTGAGCCAAAACTGAGGGACAAAGCTGCAATCAAGAAAAGCTGCATCGTGAAAGATTCGGCAAGGTTGAGTGTGATGTGCGAGCTTTGAGTAGAAGATTTTCTGCTACATTGGGACAGCCCGTGTCCAGGCCCATGGGTGTTTTTCGAAACCAGGATCCTTTGAAGGAATTTTCGGAAACTCCCTTATTGCTGCAAAAACTGACCTTCGGAGGGATCCACGACGGGAGACGGGAGACTAAGTCAGAAAACCATCGACACATGCATCGGCCCCTTCCGAAGGTGCGTGCCCCTTTGTTCGCCGCAAGGCCTGTCTTGAACGAGTGTTGGCGCTGGCTGTAATTTACTTGGCTTCAGTTGCTTGGCACTATGACCTTATAAACCCAGCTGCGCATCCCCGTGAGACGCGAGCTCACGCAACCAGTGGTAATGCCTCAACCATCCCGAGCAAGTGCACTTTAGCAGTTTCTCATAGAGCTCTGGACCCCCTTGGCCAAAACCTCAACCCTTAATAAGCGCCCGGCGTTGCCAACAAAAATACCCAGAATCCGAAATACATCGTCAAAAACCTCGGCCTCTAAAGAACACCGTAAGTCAGAAATCAAAAGCGTTCACAAGCCCCAAGCCTAAGCACCTAAAGCCTCTTCACAAGCTCGGCCCATTCTGAGGAAACGGCATGGAAGCTCTACCTGTCTTGAAAACCCTACAGCCTAGACCGCGTCCGCTTCTGAGGAAAAGGCCTGGAAGCTCTACCTTTCTTGACACGCGCCGGGGCGCTCCCTGAGTATAGGCTCCAGGGGAGAAATGAACTAGGAGGGTTGAGGGCTTCAGGGTTGTGGTTTAGGGTTTAGGGTTTAGGGGGTTTAGGGCTCAGGGTACTATACAATCCCGTAGCTAAGGAATACCCCTTAAAATAAACTAGGAACCCTAGTATGAGTGAAGGTATATTCCTCCACTGAAGGATGTTGGAGTCTCTGGCTATAAGGTATTTAAAGGGGTCTAGGGTTTAGGGCTCCTTGAAATCTAGGGTCTGTGTAGGGTTGTATACGCTCCTTTCAATATGGGGTTTAGGGATTAGGGCTCCTTTAAATGCAGGGTCTGACGAGGTATGAGGGTTCAGGGCTCCTTTAGACATAATTTTTCTAGGTTTAGGGCTTAAGACTCTTCTAAAAATGAGGTATGTCTCGATCGGGTTTAGGCTTTGGGGCTGCTGTAGATGTAGGGTCTTTATCGTGTTCTATGAGGTTTTAGTTGACGGGTCTGACAGAAGTGCGTAGGGTTACAAAAGTGTACAATTAGGGTCTCTATAGCGGCCTTGATCACTCGAATAGAGCTTAGCCAGCTTTCAGGCTTGCTCCGAAGAATACCGTGGTCCTCAACCCCTTCACGTTGCCTGCGTCCCCTGATCCTCTAAGTAGCCTCCGGATTTCCGAGTGGTGCATCCAAACCCAGAAAATCTTGGAGATTGGCGCAATATACGGGCCTTCATAATTGGAGTAGGGTTCTGGGGCCTATTACACTATGATTATAATTAGGAAACCCAGACTTACAAAAAACAATTATCAAGGCCCTTATATTGGGGTCTAGGGACTCAAAAATCTGAGGGTCCAAACAAAAACGTTAAGCGACCGTCCGCGAAACATCGAAAAACCTAGTGTCCGATGAACCAGTGGCCCCACAGCGTTCCTTTCTGTACTTGGAGGATCAGAGGACTTGGTAAGTAGGGTTACAAGTAAGGTAGCTAGAGCTATATCTACTTATAACCCTAATTGAAGTACTTACAACCGTCCCTACTTACTAAGTCCCATGATCCTCTAAGTAAGGTTTCGGGACTCAGAGTTTAGCGACTTGGGGTCAAGGTTTCGGGGCTTCCCCCGGCTAGCCGGGCATACAAGCCGACCACCACCCTGAACCCTCAACCTTGCGCACTGAAACAGAAAAAATGTATCGTGATCTTTGTCCTGAGCCCTACCCATAGGCTCCATGGTAGCTCCTTTTTGGAATTGCCTTATAGGATTCTAAACATGAACCCCAAAAAGGAACTACTATGGAGCCTCTAGGTAAGCCCTCAATCAACCCTAACGCAAAGCCCTGTGTGAGCCCAGGGCCTGCCGATTGAAGAAGGAAGAAGCGGCTTCGGGTGTGGGTGAGGAGACCGCCTCCATCACCTGGGGTTTAGGAATTAGGGCCGTTGAGGATCACTCAAAATCCTAAACAAAGCTTTTGTGTGCTTCAGGGCTTGATTTGGGATCATGTAGCGCTCAGGCGTTTTGAGGGTCAGGGGCTTCTACTGAAGACCTGCATCCTTGTGACATTGTGTGTATCTTTGTTTGTATGTATGCTTGTAAGCATGCATGCATGCATATATATATATATATATGTATGCATATGTATATACACAAACATACATACATAGATACATTGCAGACATGCTTATTCACTGCTTCAGTACTTGCTTTTGCACTATATGCTTACGTACACAACTACGCAGCATCTGCACCCCTGGAGCCCGCACTCTCCACTACCCAAGCCTCTCGGGTTGCTAAACATGAAAGCCCTAACTAGAAAATGAAGCCCTTGGCTAACATCAGCGTGTTCCCATTCTGAAATAACTGTACTCCAACTGTGTTTCACAGTGCTATTTGGGAACTTTTTGCAAAGCATTCGCTTAAACGGAGTACCGACCGAGGCTCAGATGTCTACAGTGTCTGCATAGTCTGCGTTGAGGACGCTGTAGTCTGATATCTGTGTGTGTGTGTGTGTCTGTATCCATATATAGATTATATAGGCACATACCTACATATACAAACATAACTACCTACCTACATGCGTTCATGTGTACATACATGCAAAATCAGGCATACATACAAACATGCATGCATACATATGTATACACCTACGTACATACCTAGGCACCTGCATACCTACATACCTATACAAATACATACACCTGCTCACATACGTACTTACATACATACATACATACATATTTACTTCCATACATACTTACTTACGTACATACATACATAACTACATCCATGCATACATATACATACATATGAGACACAGCAGTAAACCATGGTATGCAAACACAGATTTCCATACATAATAAATAGACGAATATATCTAAATATATATATATATATATATACACACATATATATATATATAGGAAAAAGATAGATAGATAGATAGATAGACAGATATAGATAAAGATAGTCTCTACCCAGACTGCACGAACGGTCGCGGGAAACAACACCCGAAACCTTGAACAAGAACCCCTAAAGGGTGTTTCTGACATATCCTACACAAGCCATCCGGCAAAAACGTGCCATAGAACAACTCAGAAATATGACATGCCGGCAGAATGAACCTTAGCGTTGCGATCCATTGTCGTCCCTATTGTCATCATTGTGATAATTAGTACCATTGCTATGTGTAGAGTGAAGTTGCTGTAGGTTGCTCACCAAACCTGCTCCCGAACCCCTATACCTACCCCATCTTACCCCTGTTCTGCATGAGATACCCATACAGAAGGCAACATCAACGGGTTCTTTGGCACCCTCTACTTGGAGAAGGGTCGGGGGACTTAGTAAGTAGCTAACTTATAGGGCTATAAACAACACAACCCTAATTAGGATCCCCTTCATCTTGCAACATACTTATAACTCTAACTTACAACCTACTTACTAAGTCCCGGACCCTCCAAGTACCGTCTAAACCGCTAAACCCCTGAATCCTCGAAAGGTTTCGAAGGCCTCAATCGGAGCGGCTTCGCGCCCACCATAGCGCTCCTCCTTGGCGCTGGGAGGAGTGCTCGAAGGTTCTGGGGTTTTTAGGGCTTCAGGGCCTTGGAGCTTAAGGGTTTAGGGATTTGGTTTGGGGGTATCGTTCTAAGCTTCTGGGCTCTGTGGGGGCTTTAGACGGTTCTGTGGGGTCTTCGCAAGCTTAGAGCTTGGGGTTACAGTAAGGGGTTACCTACGGCGAAGTAACTATTGTCAATTATTATAACTATTACTAATTACTATTATCAATTATTATAACTATTACTATTATCAATTATTATAATATTATAATTATTACTATTATCAATTATTATAATTATTACTATTATCAGTTATTAAAATAATTTACTTATTACTATTATCAATTATTGTAATTATTACTATTATCAATGATTATAACGATAATACTACTCGAATCATCAGCGGCCCAAGAATGCAGCTTGTAAGTGACGTAGCTTGAAGCACTATGCCAGAATCTGTGGACCCTGTGGCCGTGTGGCAACCACTGGCCACAGGTTACCCTCGTTCGGAAATATTGACACAGATGGCATTTCCAGCACACCGCCTGGAACGGTTTAGGGTTTAGGGCTCAGGATTCAGCGTTCAGTATCGGCTTAGCACTTTAGGGCTTTAGGTTCGCCCGTTGTCGGGTTCTCCATGGGGTGAAGCCCCCTATATGGCTGGGAGTTTTTGTAGAAATTTGAATTTCTTGCCTATTGGGCTGAAGTACCCATAAATATGTAAAATGCTATCCAGCTATGACAAATAAACCAGTAGATTAGCTACGAATCAACCTAGCAAGACATGGTTCCTTATCAAGGACATGACCCTTGTTGTTGAACCTGATGTCCGATGCCCTTCCTGAATACAGAAAACTCTACGGTTCTCCAGAACTGATTGTACAATCAACATCATATAAGCTAGTGCAAGCAAATAACAGGTACTGCTATATATATGAACCAGTTGTAATAAAATTCACGGCGTTGATGAGCGACAAACATGAGACATTATGGGTTTCCAACGCGTGGCTTCGCACAACCTGTTGGCAGAACCTGCTTTGCCTCACGTTGAACCCAAGCACCTGTGAGATGCCTACTCCCTACCTATCTTGCAACATCCTTGTATAGGGGCCTTAATGACTAGAACCGGGGCTTAGCATGCTTTAGGGTATGTCTTTAATTAAAACATATGTAACTATTCGACCAAAGAATCCTAAGGAATAGTCTGGGTAATTATTCAAGCTTCTAAATTCGACCCTAAACCGAAACCATATGTAAACCGACTTCCCCCAGCACCGTGGACTCTCAGCCTAAACCCAAACCTCTATGAGGATCCGGCTTGTGTGCCCTCCAGCTCCTGCATTGCAGGGCTGATTTGAGGGCTACAGCTCATGGCTCATACGAGTTCACAGGATTTCTGGTCGAGAGTCAGCAAGAACCCAGTAGCCGGTGGTTGGCATGCAGACTACTCGCCCCAAGTATCCTAGCTCGCATGCACTTAGCCAGAACCCTCACCCGTCGACACCCTAAACCCTAAACCCTCAATTACAGTAGAAGC